GCACATTATACGTGTAGCATGTATGATTGTTAACTAGTTGTATTGAAATCACGGTAAATAAATGATTGTTAGTATGTATAATCCATTTCAGAAAATTGCAGCTGTTTATTTATTAAGACGTTTTGGTTTCTCAAGGTACAGTGCATTTGCTATGCACTTAAATTTAGATATTCATAATATCTAGATACATAGTATAATAAATTTATCTATAAAAGTCAAAATGTCTTATAATTTGGTTCGGAGGGAGTATTATCCTTTTAGGCAGCTCGACATCACCGGTTCACGAGCGCTCGCGCTCTGGTTCTTTGAGCAGCAGCGGCGACGGCTTGGACTCACTACTGGAAACCCGCACTTTGCCGATTGCCTGCGGCACTCGGCAAAGCCCGAAATACACTCGGCAAAGGCTTTGCCGAGTGCCGCACTCGGCAAAGGGCACTCGGCAAAGAATTAATCGGCAAAGAAGCCTTGCCGAGTGCTTTTTGTCGGGCACTCGGCGAAGCCATTGCCGAGTGCCGGAAAAGCACTCAGTAAAGATTTACACTCGGCAAAATGAAAAAGCGAAAAAACTAAAAAATAATAGCAAAATTTTTTTTCAGAGAAGGGCGCCATCGGCCAGCGCCCGTTCGTCCAGCGCCACCGGCCATTGAAGTCACTGTATTTTTTTAGCAAAATTCGCGGCTAATGCGGCTGGCGGGATTCGAACTCACGACCTCTCCCTCGTATGTCTGCTGCTCTACGACTGCACTACACTGTCACTTATGTCTAGATTCCGTTATCTATCCTCATATATTATACTAAATCGAGAGTAAATTGCTTATTTGAGGCTCTAAACAAATTCAAATTAAAAAGTGGTCAACTACAAAGTTTCATAACTTTTCGAGATCTATAATTTTCATTTATGAAGTTTTTTCCATCCGAGGTCGTTTGAAAAATTCGAATTTCAAATTTGAGAGATTCAAACGTAGTTTTGCATGATAAGATGATTTCAAATCAAAAAGTTGTCAACTACATAGATTCATAACTTTTGGAGATCTACAATTTTCATTTAGGAAGTTTTTCCATCCGAGGTCGTTTGAAAAATTTGAATTTCAAATTTGAAAGATTCAAACGTAGTTTTGCATGATAAGATGATTTCAAATCAAAAAGTTGTCAACTACATAATTTCATAACTTTTGGAGATCTATAATTTTCATTTAGGAAGTTTTTCCATATGAGGTCTTTTGAAAAATTCAAATTTTAAAATTTTCAAATTCAAACGTCATTTTTGCATGACAAGATGATTTCAAATCAAAATGTTGCCAACTACAAAATTACATAACATCTCAAGATCTACAAAGTTTATTTTGGTCATTTGGTCATCCGACATAGTGGTAGTAACATTATTCACAAATCTTATATCTCTCTCTTCGACTTTCATGAAACTAATATGAGAGATATGAGAGAGATGTAGATTTTATGAACAACGTTATTGTCGCTTTGTCAAATGAAGAAATGACCAAAATAAACTTTGTAGATCTTGAGAAGTTATACAACTTTGTAGTTGAAAAGTTTTTCATTTGAATTCATTTAGGGCCTCAAAAATTGCTTTGAAAAAATGATTTGCCGAGGACAAAAAAAAAATGCACACGGCAAAATGCCTCTTTGCCGAGTGCAAAAAAAGGCACTCGGCAAAGACGCATTTTGCCGAGTGCCAAAAAATGGCACTCGGCAAAATACATATTTGCCGAGTGCCAGAAAAAAGGCACTCGGCAAAGACGCATTTTGCCAAGTGCCGAAAAATGGCACTCGGCAAAATACATCTTTGCTGAGTGCCGAAAAAAAACACTCGGCAAAGCCATCTTTATCGAGTGCCGAAAAAAACACTCGGCAAAGCCGTCTTTGCCGAGTGTCCGATAAAATACACTCAACAAAGCTTCCGGCACTCGGCAAAGTGCCGGTTTCCAGTAGTGACTGCAGTAAGTAGGTGGCAGCGGCGACGGCTTCGAGGGCCGACAGCTTGAGGGGCGTGGTTTGAGCAGCAGCAGGGACGGCTTGGACTGCAGATTTGTGTGGAGCCAGCTGAGTGGCGGCCAGTTCTGTTTTTCTATGTCTTTTTCCAGATTTTTTTTAAACAGCTAAATGGCTCTTAGCTGCCTAGGATGAAAAATTCAGTGCAGTCTAGCTGCACCCTCCCGCCGTGCAGACCTTGCTTCATCTGGTGACACGTGTCACATGGAGATAGATGGACGGAGCCAAAGACACAAGCCAGCTGGAGATCGAGAGAGCGAGCCAGCCTGGGATTGAAAGAGCCATGAAGGATGACAGATGAAGATCTTTTACTGGCTGAGGGTTTGAGAACATTCTGCATGTGACAGACGTGACGTGCCGTGTAGCGGTGGCCTTCTGGTCGCCACGAGCAATGGGCTAGACGGGAAATGGACCCTCCTAACCCTCCAATGTCTATGCGATCGGTTGTGTGATTTGACTCATATAGGTGGAGCTGCTAGGAACGTCTCTTATTTATAGATGTGCTGTGGGCCAAGACCGAACCCTAAAAGATCTAAGCGTTGCTGCCGATCACCGTTGATCTTATTTAGTTAGAAATAAATGACAGGTGGACCAAAAGCTTAATGTTTAATTAATCTCGTAACTAAGATCAGGATTAACCGAAACCGATCAGATTCCAATAGGGGATCCTTTGTCACCGATGCTGTTGGTGCTAGTTATGGAGGTCGTTAATGGCATGTTTGCAGGCTGATGGTCAGGGGTTCTTCTCGCCTCTTGGGCACACTGACATACGGTTCCGGACATCACTCTACGCAGATGATCTTGCTGTCTTTGTCGCGCCGACCTTGCTGGACCTGCAGGTGCTGCTAGAGGTGCTACAAATGTTTGGGGAGGCCTCCCTTTTCACCATCTTGGACAAGTGTCTGGCAACACCAATCAGGACATCAGGTGTTCACAGGAACACGTCTAGCTCAATCTGTGGGATTGCTGTATTCCTGTGTTGTTACCTGGGCATACCTTTGGTAGTTCACAAGCTACGGAAGGGTGAAGAGTGCACTCTCGTCGAGGCTATTACGGCGCGCATCCCGTCCTGGAAGGGCAGAATGGTTAATCATGCTGGCTGCGCAACTCTAATGGCCGTGACATTGTCTGCGATTCCAATGCAGACGTCCATATGCCTGTGCCTTTGATGCTATTGACAAGCGGCGGCGTGCGTTTCTGTGGACTGGGCAGAGATCAAGTCTTTAAAGTTGTCGGATAGCCTGGCCTGCGGTCTGCAGGCCACGCCAAGCAGCCTGTTCGTTTAGCTATGGCTTGTCGTAAACGATCGTAAATTTCCAACCGGAATAGTATTTTTCTCCTACACAAATCAGCTAGTAGTATTTCTTCACGAACCAGCAACGAAACGAACCAGCCAACCGAACAAGCTGTAGGTGGCCTGGGCCTGGTCGACTTGGGGCGTTTTGGGATTGCTCTTAGGCTATAAGATGGCTCCGGCTCCAGAGAGTTGTCCGAATTAGGTGGCCAATTAGGTGGCGAAAGTTTTCCGAATCAATTCTGGGTGATGTCAAATCAACGTTGTTTTAGTACTGATAGATGGATTCAGGGCGAATCGATCAAGTCAATTGCACCGGCACTCTTTGCCGGTGTCCCCAAGTGTTGTCTTGGTCGCATGGTTGCTGAAGCAGTCATCGGCAACAGATGGGTACGAGACTTGGTGTGAGCGCTAACTGTGCTGGTATTGCTGGAGTATCTTTGCATCTGGGGAATAGTTCAGGAGGTGCACCTCGATGAAGGGGTCCAAGACAGATTGGTATGGAGATGGAATTGGACTTCGGATAGCAACTACTCGGCGACGGCGGCGTACAGGGTGCTGTTCGCCGGATCATGGAGACCTCTTGGCGCCAAGGAGCTATGGAAGGTTAACGTTCCAGGGAAAGTCAAGCACTTCTTGTGTTGGCCTTGCACAAAGCGGTGTTGGACTGCCGTGCGCCGGCATCGCCACGGCCTTCAGGACTCAAGAATCCTGTATCCTCTGTGACCAGGCGCCTGAAGAAATTGACCACCTGTTGGTCACTTGTGTGTTCAGTAGGGTGGTTTGCGCTTGGACGCTGTCGGTGATTGGACAGGTTCATTTGTCGCCAAAAAACGATCCTTGCTTCTGGTGGATATTCTGGAAGGAAAAAAATCAAAGGACATTCAGGAACAACTTCAGAAATCAAGAAAGTTGCCTACAAACCATCGAAGAAGAATGCAAGCTTTGGGATTTAGCAGGCTACAGACACCTGCGTCGGAGCTTAATTTGTCGCAAAACAGTTTAATTTCGTAATCACAATTCTGTAAGTTAGTAAGCTCTGTTTCTCTTGTTTTATAGTTTGTGTAGATTCTGGGAATCCCGGGATTACCGGATCTGTGTAAGCCTCAAAACATTCTTCTTTCGCTAAGTAAAAAACGTGCTTCATGGTACGGTCGAGAAAAAACTCCTGTGGCGGCGCCACAGCCTGCATGGCTGGCAGCGGTCAGGAACCAAACAGCCCCTGTATGTCCCACAATCGCAGGTAAACGCCACGCTGACGAGGAGCTCGTCCTCCCAGCCTTAATTGGGGCATGACAGATTCATTCATAGGCCATGTCCAGCCGCCCCGCCCTCTTGGCAGCTGCGTCGGACACGGGTGCAGGCGCATTGCAATTGCGACTTCAAGTGATGAACGACTGAGGAGTAAAATCATTCAGATGTTAACAACTCACAGATTAGACGATTAAACACATGGCATGCAGCTGAAGGTAGTACTATCATAGAGACGTGGAAACCTCGTACGCGCTTTGCTTCTTCATGATGACAAGGAGAGCATTTGTAGTACAGTGCTGGATAGGTGGAGGTGTGCAGTGCGGCACGAGGGACCGAAAGGAAAACTAGTCCCTTTTTACTGGGAGAAAAACAGTAAACCAAGGGCGAGGAAGAAGGAAAGCTGCCCCCTGTAGTACTAGTACTAGTACTATTTTAGTAGTATTAATTAATAGCACACGCTGCCGTCGTCGAAGCTCCAGAGCCCCCCGCCGTCGTTGCAAAACACGGCGTCGCCGCCCAACAGCAACATTGTGTCCATCTCCAACGCGGCAGGCTCGTACACGGCGCCGTCGAAGGAGCTAAACAGCTGGTCGGCGAACATGAAAGCGTCGAACAGCATGTCGGCAGGATCATGGGACGGCGCCTGTGCCACATCGTTTCCCACGGCTTCTTCTTCCTGGGGGTCTGTGTCTGTCCGGGCGCGCTCCTGGGCGCCGCCGCCGAGCTCGACGCGGAAGTCAAAGACCAACGCGCCGTCGTCGGCCGCGGACATGCCCTGCCAGGAGAAGTCTGGCAAGGCGCTGCAGCCGCAGCCTCTGGAGACCGCCGCGTCGCCGCCTTGGTGGTGGGCCTCCATGTAGTCGGACGGCGCGCATTGTCGACCGAGAACGCTGTCGTCGTCGTCGTCGTTGTCCACGAGCTGGACGCACGGCGCCGCAGTGCCGGTGGACGGGAAGTTGAGCTTGGCTCTGTCGCCGCGGAGGTCGCGTGCCTTGTGGTCGTAGGCGCGCGCCGCTTCCTCGACGGTGGCGAAAGTGCCGAGCCAGAGGCGGACACCCCTGACGGGGTCACGCACCTCGGCCGCCCACTTGCCCCCCGGCCGGCGCCGGACGCCGTAGTACTGTCTGGGCTGCCTCTGCTTGCACCGGGTCGCGGGGGCGGCGAACCCGAACGCCGCCTTTCGCTGCTTCTTCATAACCGTGTCTTGCTCGGAGTCCTCGTCCGAGTCCCGGAATGCGGCCTCCATGTCATGGTCGGCCGCGGTCCGACGCTTGCTGCTGCCGCTCGCGTGACCCGGCGTGACGAAGTGCCCACCCGGCGCCCTGGGTATGCCGCACATCTTGCTATGCTAGCTCCCTACAAGACGGGAGGGAGTGCTTTAATTTGCTTGGAGATGAGAGCCTAAGAGGGGGAGGGAGCGAGAGACGACTAGACTGTGATTGAAATAGGGTTCGTTAGCTAGTGTCGTGTTGGTGGACGGCAGTGTAGAGGTGGCTGGCCACTTATATAGGAGGACTGCTGAGTGCTGAGTGATGGTATATACGTTTATAGGTGGCTGGCCACTTACATAGGTGGACGACTTGTTCGTTGGTTGGTTTCTGAGCTGATAAGGTTGGCTGATGCTAGTTTATTATGAGAGAAAAATATTGTACCATGTCTGATAAGCCCTGCCTAAAATCAACGAGCGAACAGGCTGGTAGTAGCTTCAAAGCGGTATCAAGCATGCATGAATGAATAAATGAAATGAAATGCTGAAACCAGGTGGGGCGGCGGTTTGCCACAGTTTCGGGGTACTTAGTAATCAGCCTTTTCGCTTGTTGGTTTCAACCAACCCAAACCAGCCAGCTAATAGTGTTTTTCTCTCACAATAAATCAGCACCAGCTAGTCCAGAAACCAACCAGCGAATAAGCCCAATGTGTATGGACCTCCAACATCCAACCCCACAAGTGGATGCCAATAAATTACAAGCTAGCCGGTTCGTGCGCCATCGGATGGACCACGCTATGCAACTTGGTACGGACATACTTATCGCCAACTCAGCTGGGCGGGATACTATCTTCTGCCGATAGCAGCAAGCTAGCCCATTGACGTGCTAATTAGTACAACTAAAGAAACTTTACCTATTCTTAATTAACTAGTCACACAACCCGTGCTTCCGCACGGGCTAAGTTGAAGACATATATAAATATTAAAATCTAAATCAGAATTTGGGGGGCATAATTGTAACTGACTTTAATTCTCAATTATTATATATATGTTTCCTCTCTCAAATTATAGTTGTCTGCATTTGCATCTTACCTCCACATGTGTAAATGTGTTGGACATAAGTTGTGTTTATATTAGGCCTAAAACGCGTATATTTTTATTTTCTTTGTCATACTTTGGTAGGCATTCATATTGCACCACACCTCTGTTTGTGTTTGACGTCTGCTTAGTTAATCTCTCATGTATTCATATTCTTATAAGTGGTTTCTTATCATTATTCGCATGTCATAGAATTGAGTTACCAATTACTTTGTATACTTTTCTATCACTGTTTATTATTTTTTCACCTTTGGATACTACCTTCGTATTTGCTTGGCATACGTTTAGTAGAAACCTTAGCTATATATATATATATATTAACCAAGGTGGTTTCTTTGTATTAACCGAGGCGATTGTGTTAGGGCAACTGTCTCGGTTAATAAGCATTAACCGAGGCGGTTGCTGGCCAGCTGTCGTGCCTCGAATAACTGAGGCGGGCAACCAGGCCGCCGCCTCGGAGGCCATTTTGAAAACGCCGTGCAAAAGATTTTGTGTAGTAGTGTATGTATTTGGCTTGAAATTTGACATGCTCATCCCTTCATGTACATACGTATATGCACCAAACCATGCATTTACATATTAACATAACATGAGTGAATAATTGAGAATCATTATAAAGGTATTTCTGCAAACGTTTTTATAATGAACGATGAAGATAATTTAGATTTGTAGAACTTTATATTATTGTTAATGATATAGTGCACGTGGGTAATTTAGATCCAAATTTATGAGTTACTTTTATATTATTTTCCATAATATGTAGTAATTTAGAAGAATATATATTGGTGATCTAGTTTATGTCATTCTTACATAATAGCAATGGTAGATAATCATGATTAATATTTTTGGGGTTACTTTAGATTATTCTTATGATGATAGAGGTTTATAGTGACTACCATTGTCAATGATGATTATAGTCTATGAAATAGATGGTCGTATAATAACTTAGAAACAACACTCCACTCATGTGTATTATTTTATTTGACAAAATTAATCCACTACTGTACTTGACTAACATTTTGGATTTCTTAAAATACCATCATTTTATTAAGGGAATATGATGCCAATTAGAGATGGTGTTGTGGTTAATTTGTGTTCACGGAAATAAGAATGAATACACTATATAGGATTAAAGTCCATATTTGTCCCCTCAACTCCTGCCTTTATCTAATTTTGACTCACAACTACAAAACTGTCTAACTTTGGCACCTCAACAAATAAAATTATTTCATTTTGACCCAAAAGCCATCTCAAAACCCCTTAAATCCGCCTCATGGTTAAAATTGAAGGATTTTGATATTTGAGGTGTTGAAGTTAGAAAATGGCAAGAGTTGAGGTGCCAAATATTGACTTAATCAAGTACTTTAGTTTTTATATAGATATTTATGAAAGCCTTTATATATGTAAATTTATTTATTGATAAATATTTATGTGCATTGAAATATTTATCTACACTATCGGATTTTTACCATTAAAAGAAGTTTCAAAATTCTCATAAATTAAATTTCCGTATCATATTTTTCCTCAAAATATAATCTATCTCATTGAGTTCTACAAATTTGATTTGATGAATTTGTAGTTGATCACTTTTCATTTGAAATCATTTACAGTCCCAAAGTTTTGTTTGAACTTCTCATATTCTGAAATTTAAATTTGTTGAATTATTGGAACGAACTTGGATAGAGACATGACAAAAACTAAACATGTAGATCTTATATATCTCTATGAGATATATAACTTTATGGTTGATGGCTATTTCATTTAAAATCATTTTTTGTCCCAAAATTCAGTTTGAATTTTTCATATTTTGAAGTTGAAAATTTTCAAATTGTTCGAACGAACTCAGGTGGAGAAATAAACCAAATCATAATTGTACATCATAATTGTTCGAACGAACTCAGATGCAGAAATAAACCAAATCATAAGTGTCACCAATAAGTAAATTTAATATATAAATTTTTCATAAATATCTAAAAAACTAAACTACTTGATTATGTCCATTTTGGCCCCTCAACTCTTACCTTGTCTAACTTTAGCACCTCAACTATCAAAAACCTTTCAATTTTGACCCCGAAGTATTTTTGAGTTGTTTTGACATGGCTCTGGGGTCAAAATTAAACTGTTTTGATAGTGAGGTGTCAGAGTTTGATGGGTTTTTTTTTGTAGTTGGGGGCTAAAATTAGACAAATGTAAGAGTAGATGGGCCAAAAATAGACTTTATCCTTCTATGTATTAGAATTTTTTTTGTATTTCTAGTTGACCAGGAGTTTTTGCATTCAGAATTGAGCTCTGACCTGTATGGAGTCATCACGCGTCCCAACAACAGCTGCAGCACACATCGAAACTCTTCAGCCCTTGTTTAGTTGTAGGAATTTGGATTTTGGGATTACTGTAGCACGTTCGTTTTTATTTGGCAAATAGTATTCAAACATGGACTAATTAGGCTCAAAACGTTCGTCTCGCAATTTCCCACCAAACTGTGCAATTAGTTTTTCTTTTTATCTACATTTAATGCTCCATGCACGAGCCGCAAATATTCGATGTGACAGATACTATAGTAACTTTTTGGAATTTGGGTTCCAACTAAAGAAGGGCTTTGTCGCCAACTCCAAAAAGAAGATCTGGCAACAAACGGATCTATGTACAACTAATGCATGGAAGCCCATCATTGCCATTGATTGAAACTTGAAAGGAAAAGTGAGGCAAAGTTTGACTTCACTTTATTTTTGTAGATTGAAAAAACGTGTGATTGCAGGATGAAGCGGCGGCGGCGGCGCGGCAATAGGATTCCACGCACACGCAAGAGGGCTAATAGGAGCTATCGGAAGAAGGATATATTTTAATGTGCAATTTAGATGCAGTTATTTATTTTACTTGAATTATTTTTATAATAATATATGGAATATATTTATGTAAATTTGGGTGGGTATTTATTTTGTATTTTTTATAATGGCATTGGTGTTTAATTTATACATAGATTTAGGGGTTTATTTTATATTTTTTATAATGGCAAACGTGGGCAATTTGTCTTTTGAAAATGAATCGATCCGATGGCTATTATTGTTAGAGACTACTAGATTGATGGCTTCATGTTTCTGATTATTGTGAGAATTTCTAAGAAAATTAACGTGTGCCTCTGTTGGGCCTCTAATTAGTAATACTAGGACTAGGATAGGATAGGATAAGACTAGGATAATAGGTGGTTACGTTAACAATATGAGGCCACACGACAAAAAATAACTCACATTATAATGACAGATGGCCATTCTTTTTTTTTGCGAGCAGATGGTCATTCTTATTTAATGCTATTGTTGATGCTTTCAACCTAAGAGAATTGACTCTATCTGGTAGACAATTTACTCAAACTTTTGAAAAACTTTATAGAATTTTAATCTCCACGGTGTGGGACTTAGGCGTACCACGGTGCAAGCTCTCATCACTAGGAAAATTTCCGACCATACCCTCTTTTGTTGCGGGAGAAGGCGCCATTGATGCTGCCGCCACCGCCATAAGAGTGTCCTTGCCGACGTTGAAGCCAGTCATACTCATCTCTCCCCCCCTCCCCACGTGTGGTGGAGAACTACCGATTTCTTGTGCAGTGGGTGCAAGCGTCGTGAGACCTTGGATGTCTATTGTGTGGTGGATGTGCATAGTAAATTCATGGCATGACTTGCTTGAGCTACGTTACCGAATCCCAGTCCATTCTGGAGGGTGATCGTTCGTTTGTTACTAGTTATAATCTCTTGATGTTAAGCTGAAAAATATATACTCAAACATTTCTTCTCCCACTCCAATTTCTTGATGGCAATATCCAAATCTTGTCCTTCTAATTTTTTTCTTCTAAAAAATCTTACAACAAACATTTCATCGTCCTTTATAGAGAAAACAATATCAAATTGAAAGGCTAGTCGCCCCTCTAGATGGAAAATACAAGTTTCAAGCTCATCGAAGATAATGATCGTGGAGTGAACTAAGCATAATTTAGTGGTCAGGTTGGTTGTGGTGGAACTTGTCTACCCAGGTTAAGTGTTTAA